GTTAAAGGGTTTATTAATTCATGCACGCTTATATTTGTTTCAGTCAATTTTGAAGTTAGTATGTGCTTTGGTATTTGTTGCTGATTTATGCTTACTGAAATAGCAAGTATAGGTTAAAGTGTTAAATTTTCAATTGGAATCTATGTTAGTGGGTGTTCCGGCTATTACTGAAATCATGTATGCTGTTTTGTTTAAAGGTTGGGAATAATATTGAATTTTGAGTAACAAGGTGATAGTGAATGAATTATTATAGGATTATATCTCCACTATAAACATGGTTTGACATTAGAATACACTTTGATCATGCTTAAGGATAATTAATTTTAGTTTTAATTTTCAGGAATATTTTAAAGCATTGTAGTTGTAATTGTTTATGTGTATTGATTCATAAATTGGGTTGTAGCGTGTGGCCCAATTGTTCTAAAGGTGCAGTGCTGTATTGTGGCATTTGTTCATTTGGGCTTCTAGTGAGCCCGTTGTCCTCTTTGAGTGCACATGGATACCTGAGCGTATGATTTGGGCCGCTCTGTGGGTTATGCCCCGAATATGAAGGAAGTGGTAAAGAAGGAAGTGATAAAATGGTTGGATGCGGGAATCATTTTCCCAATCTCTAACAGTAGCTGGGTTAGCCCAGTTCAATGTGTGCCTAAAAAGGGTGGCATGACGGTGGTAAAGAATGACAACAATGAACTTATATCAACAACATAACTAGTAATTATTTATTTGCCATGTTAAAATAAAACAAAAATAGACTAAATTATTTACTCCTATACTTTTAGTATACTGTATAGCTGTTACATATGCCAATTACAATGGAATGAATCCATGAGATATATATAACTAGTTCCCGACCAAATATATAAGAGTTAGTAACATATAGCCATCAATTTACCTGCAAGCACGTAATTTTTGATCCGTCATATTTTTCTAAAATACTTTAGTATTTTCACATATTTTAAAATGGTCATTTCATTTATTTTAATGTTTCTAGATTTTTAATCCATTTTTATTACTACTTCATTAGTTTAGTTTTATTGTTTTAGTATAAAATAATTGTTCATTTAAATTAATTATGATTTGATCTTGCATTTTTATAGGATATTTTATATTATTTTAGAAGAAGAAAGTTTTTATTTTAAATTAAAGTCAATTAGTATTTTATTATTGAAAAGGAGAATGAAATTTGGGTTGGTTTGTCCATCTTTGATTTAAGAGGTCCAAGAGGAGGCCCAATTCGGATCCCCTTACCCAATCAGTCCCCAACCCACAAGACCAGACCTTTGACCCGCCAATCTGCCCGCTTACCCGCCCGTCTTCCCGTTTAATCTTAGCCCTCCCTTCTCATTAAATCCAATGGCCACCACTTATAAGCACATAATTTTTGACCCGCCACGTGTTCAAGCTATATTAGTATTCTTAGCATTTTAAAATATTTATTTGAGTTATTTTAATAGGATTTAGCCTATTTTTCACTTTTATTTTTATTTTAATACATAAAATTGAAAACACAAAAATAGTTTTGTTTTATTTTATTATTATTTTTCTCATTTATTTAAGGTCATTAGTATTTTAGTAGTACTATTAGTACTTTCTGATGGTTTTAGCCTAATTTTTCTCTACTTTTATTTCAATATAATCTCCTAAGAATACCAAAAAAAAATAGTTTTATATTTTAATATAGTTTAGTTTAATTAATAAGATTTGATTTTTGCATTATGTAGTATTTTTATTTTATATGAAAGGGACTTAACTAAGGGTTGAACATTTTTTTAGCCTAATTTTAAGGCCCAAATCAGAAGCCCCACCTTAAACAACCCTTTACCAGCCCAAATTCCCACCGACCCGCCCCACTATCTTCCTATAATCCCATCCCTTTATCAAATCTAATCCAATGACCCCTATTCTTTCCCTTACCCCACATTAAACCTAATTTCCAAAACCCTAAATCAAAAATCTCCCTAAACCAGCCGCACGCCCTCCTCTGTCAACGGCAGAACTGGCTAGAAAATGCTCCAAATCTGGCGACGCGTTAATGGTCCACTCCCCACATGGTCCCCTTCCCTCTCCCTCTTCCACGTCATCACACCCTAACTAACTCCTGACAGATTCCCTCTCCCTCACGTGCTTTCCATCAATTGAGACGAGTTTTGGACAAATGGGAGCGGTTGGATTAGGTTAAAATGAATCCACGGCTTTCATTAATCCGGGATTTGTTTACATAGAAAATGGAGAATGAAAATCGAGTTTTTGGCGAATTTCTTGGAGAACAAGAGGAAGTTTATAGGTGGTCTATGTAAGGGAGCTTTTAGAACGAAAAATGGGGATTTTTGGAGAAGAAATCTGGAGAGAAAAAAAAAAGAACAACTAGGGTTTAAGAATTCTTGAAGTATTTTTCAGTTTTTGGTTCTTTTGAAATTCCAGAAAAAAAACAAAATATAGATATCTCTTTTACTTCTTATATTTCTTCTTTTGAATCTCGATTTTGATTTGAAAAATGGAGTTTGAATGAACTTTGGGTCTGAGTGCGAGTCCGCCTGAGATTTGCGGTGCCGATCGAGGTCCGTTCGTGATTGTTAGTTCCTATTTCTTGGCGGCTGTTTGTCGTGGATTTTCACTTCCGGATTTAGTTGTATTTGATTGCGAGCAGAATTAATTAAAGGCGCATTCAGGTTCATTTCTTCCTTCTACTTTTATGTGTATTGTGAATCAAAGCCATAGATGGAACCATTTAAGATTGGCTAATCAGTAGTAGCTTCGAGTTTAATTGATTTTCTCTTTCTGATTTCCGACTGTTGGTTATTGTCACCCCATGAGTTTCCTT